CCTGATATTCTGTTAAATGCAAAGAAATTGGGATTTTCTGATAAATTCATCGCTCAGTGTATGGGAAGCAGTGATTTCATTGTTAGGCAAATGAGAATCGTTAATAATATTAAACCTTTTGTGAAACGTGTGGACACAGTGGCCGCCGAATGGCCCGCAACTACTAATTATCTATATTTGACTTATAATGCGTGCAATACTGACATTGAGTGCAGTAGCGGAGGAGTTATGGTTTTAGGAAGTGGTGTCTATCGTATTGGCTCTTCAGTTGAGTTCGACTGCTGTGCCGTTGGATGTGTTCAGGAACTCAAAAAGGTTTGTCTCTCCAAAATTGATCCATCGTTTAATTAACTGCTTATATTAATGACTGAATCAGATGAACAAAACAACAATTATGGTCAACTGCAACCCCGAGACTGTGAGCACAGACTATGATATGTGTGACCGATTATATTTCGAAGAAATTTCTTTTGAGGTAAACTTGATTAGAATTATTGTTTTGAATTCTTTTTATACCATTTGTTTTTTCAAACAGACAGTTATGGAGATCTACGACATCGAAGCGCCGGAAGGGATAATCCTAAGTATGGGCGGACAACTGCCTAATAATATTGCGATGGATTTATTCGGACAAAAAGTGCGAATATTAGGCACTTCTCCCGAATCAATAGATAACGCGGAAAATAGATTCAAATTTTCCCGATTATTGGACAGTAAAGAAATCGGTCAACCGGTTTGGGAACTCGTCTCTGATATCGAAACGGCCAAAAAATTTTGTCTAAAGAACGGCTATCCGTGTATTGTTCGGCCATCATATGTACTCTCGGGTGCGGCCATGAATGTCGCCAATTCTGCCAGAAATTTGGGTAAATATATGGAAATATTGTCAACAATTTATAATAATATAATTTGTTTGACAGAAAACTATTTGAAAGAAGCGACGGCTGTTTGTAATGAACATCCGGTGGTTATATCGAAATTCATAACCGAAGCAAAAGAGATAGATGTGGACGCAGTGGCACAGGACGGACAACTCATATGTATGGCTGTGTCAGAGCACGTGGAGAACGCTGGCGTCCATTCGGGTGACGCCACTCTTGTCACTCCACCGCAAGACTTGACGAGCAAAACGTTGGCCAACATTAGGAAGA